TTTCAAATATGATTTTCAGAATAATATATTTATATATCCATCATTTGTTGGAATATGAAATTTTTCTTTGAAATGATTATGGAATTTTACTTTGTATGGATTATGTTTTATGAAAATTTATAAATCTTGAATTTGTATATATTGGTAATTTGAAAATATATTTTGGTTTTTGTCTCATAGTGTGACTATGTTATGACCAATAGGGGTTAATTATTAGTCATGTTGACATGTACTTTTTTATATTGATATTGGTTTCAAACTATGACACTAGTTGAGAGTAGTGATTTTATTCACCGTGCCATCGGTGTTATAATTCTGTCCCATTGCACTAAAAGGATTATTGTGATCTGTGTTCTATTTCATTGCACTAATGGGTTAATTATAATTGTCAGTGCAACTATCTAGTTACTTTTGATATATTTTTATCATATTGCACTAGAGAAGAAATTCTGATTCTGACCTATGCTACAGGGGTTAAGTGTGATCGTAATATGTTATAGGAGAATAAATAAATTTATAATTTTGTAATATTTTATTCCATTTATGATATGAGAATCTAGTTATGAAAATATATTTGTGAATACAAGATTACCCAAAATATTTTTGAATCATTTAGTTAATATTTGGACTTAAATGTTTTGTAGCATGCTTAATCCAATTGAGGGAATATCAGTTACTTACTGAGTTATTGTACTCATTTCTTTAATTTTCTTTACTTTTTTTAGTTTTCGATGTTTGTATCTTGGGAGGCTTAATCTCGACAACTATTTGAATTAGTAATATTAGCATCTATCTTTAGTTTGGTATTGCATTCGAAGTGAGTATTTTATTATCGATTTTAAAAGATTTGTTAGTAAAAACTTTAGTATATTTGACCAATTTGAAAATAGTATAATTTTATAAATTTGAGATTTTGTAAGATATTATTTTGGAAATGATTGAAGATTTTGATTTAGTTTGATACCTGTTACCTTATATGCTTGTAAGATTTGTCTCATGAGTATACAACATTGTTACGTTTTAAATAATCTGGTTTGGAGCATGATAGTAAACATATATTTAAATAAATAAAACAATCCATGCATGTCACAAACTAGTTATTAATTAAATTATTTTCTCCTTTAATCAATCAATTAATTAAAAAACTCCATATTGATTAGTTATTATCATATGGAATATTTAGACTCAATACAAACTAATTAATTATTTTACTCTTTTACTCTAGTAAAGGCTTGGCAGAAAAAAAAACTCATATTGAAGATTTTAACTTAGAACTTTTTCTAATAATTAATTAATCAATTATTTAGGCTTGAATTTCAACTTCATGTCATGTGTAAATTGATGAAACTTTATATACCACCGCATCCAAGCATGTAATTCAGATATTGAAGGTCTAGCACCAGTAATTCCGGTTACCAACGAATTTTGGTTTTACAAATTCTGATTTGGTATTTTTTTTCTTTAAATTTATGTGAAAATTGTATCACGTTATCCATCAATAATAATCAACACATCATTGTTAAATTATTTGTATTTCATCTTAATGCTAAAAGGTCTTTGCTCGAGAAGACAATTATCTAGATATTGAGAGATAAGTATGTATCCACAAATTCTTCAAAAACATGGGTGTTTCATGTTATCCATGAATAACAATCCAGTCATCAATGTGAATTATTTGTATTTCGTCTATATTTCCACGAAGAAGAACAAGTTCTATAGGCAAGGCTACATCATTATCATTTATTACTTTATCAGAAGCTTCAAGGAAGAAAAAAAGAACACCGATCGACTTCTCATTTTCTAACAGTGATCAATAAATTATTTCACTTCATTTTCTACCAATTAATGATGAACACATTGTTCATGTACACGTTTTCTTCACTTCAGAAGACGAAGAAAAGTGAACACATTTCCATGTAAACGTTTTCTTCACTTCAAAAGACGAAGAAAATTCAATACATAGGCAATGACCAAAGACTTAAAATATACGTTTGCCTGGCTCCTTTAAGTACCTTAAGTTTAGGGTTAATGGCTTCAATCCTGAACTGAAAAGCTATGGCATCCCATTTTTTCACTTGTATAGCAATATTATTTTTACTCTCTATAAATGTTGAGAGCAATGAAGTTTCGGATTTGGAGCCTCTGCAGGCAGCGGAGAAAAAAACCTTGATGGAGACTGGGTGGTGGAGTAACCACAGCAAAAAAGATGCTGACCATTGTAGATGGCCTGGTGTCAGATGCGACGCAGTTGGAAGTGTCACCGAGATTGATCTCAGTGGCCATGGTCTCAACGGGAGTATACCACCTCAGATAGGTGCCCTTTCAAAACTCAATTATCTCAACCTGTCCATGAATGGTCTTAGAGGTGAGTTACCTCCTTCCTTTAGAAACCTCACTCAGTTATTGGTGCTTGACATTTCTCATAATGAGATTGATTCAATTTCCCTAGCAATAGAGAACATGAAAAACCTTGTTTCTCTAAATTTGACTAGGAACCTCATCGCGGATATGCCTTCAGCTATAGGTTTTTTGACCAATCTCACCCACTTGATTATGGACTCCAATCCATTATTACACGGCATTCCCCACCAAGTGTGGAACCTGGAAAAGTTGATGACTCTCCAACTCAGTCACTGCCTGCTCAGTGGTCCTATCCCATCAAATATTGCCAAGCTAGAGAGTTTGGTTACTCTTGATCTATCAAGCAACATGCTTGTTGGTCCACTCCCTTCTTCTGTTAGCAATTTAACCAATCTGACAGTGTTGAACCTTCAAAGAAACCAACTCAATGGATCCATTCCAAAAGAAATTGGGAGACTAACCAATTTGGTTACTCTAGATCTCTCCAACAATATGCTTTTGGGTCCCATCCCTTCTTCTTTGGGTCGATTAATAAAGTTAGTATCTCTGAACTTCAGGTTTAACCAAATTAATGGTTTCATCCCTCAGGAAATTGGAAATATGAAGAATCTCAGTTTTCTTAGGTTGGGTTCAAACAAAATTCAAGGTCCACTCCCTCCTAGTTTGGGTAATTTATCCAACTTGAAACAATTGAGGCTTTATAGAAATCAAATAAATGGTCCAATCCCTTCAGAAATAACAAATCTTAATAACTTGGTACTCTTGGATCTCGGTGTCAATAATTTCAGTGGTCAAATCCCTCCATTTCTAGGTCTGTTACCCAGTTTGACTAGTTTGTACCTAGATTCAAATCTTTTTGAGGGTTTCATCCCATCAGATATTGGAAAATTAAAGAATCTAACTACGTTGTACCTCTCTAATAACAAACTCACTGGTCCAATCCCTTTATCTCTGTGTCATTTAACTAATTTGATCACTCTATCCCTTTCTTCAAATCTTTTGAGAGGTCCCATACCCCTTGAAATTGGAATTTTGGAAGGTTTGATTTTCTTGGATCTCTCCCAAAACGGATTGAGTGGACCTATTCCAACTCAAATTGGTAAATGCTTAAATTTACTAGAATTGAATTTAGCAAACAATCATTTGAGTGGAAGGGTTCCCAACTTTCCATTTTATTTGGAGAAACTCAATTTGTCATTTAACTCATTGATGGGTCCAATTCCAAGTGTGTTGTTTCATCTTCCACCAGAGTCGTTTACAGGCAATAAGGATTTATGTGGTGCCATTACAGGCTTCCCACCTTGCCCTTCATCTTCATCTCCAACTGTAAAAGGGAAAAGAAACAGCAAAGTGATGCACAATCTAAAAATCATTATTGTCGTTCCAACTTTATTTCTTGTCTCAACTTTGGCATTGGTGATGTTGGCCATTTTCCGACATAGAGCTAAAAGTTTCAAACCTGATCCAAGTGCAACAAAAAATGGAGATATATTCTCAGTGTGGAACTATGATGGAAGAATTGCGTATGAAGACATCATTAAATCAACCGAGGATTTTGACATCAAATATTGCATTGGAACTGGAGGCTATGGCAGTGTATACAAAGCATGTTTACCTAGTGGTAGAGTGGTTGCTTTGAAAAAGCTTCACCGTTTTGAAGCCGAGAAGCCAGCATTCAGCAAGAGCTTTGGAAATGAGGTGAAGTTGCTGACAGAAATACGACATAGAAATATTGTGAAGCTTCATGGGTTTTGCCTACACAAGCAATGCATGTTTTTGATTTATGAATACATGGAAAGAGGAAGCTTGTTTTGTGTTCTAAGCAATGATGATGAAGCTGTGGAGTTGGATTGGATTAAAAGAGTTAATGTCATCAAGTGTGTAGCACATGCTCTAGCTTACTTGCATCATGATTGCTCGCCACCAATAGTTCATCGAGACATATCAAGCAACAATGTTCTCTTGGACTCAAATTTGGAGGCTGTCGTTTCTGACTTTGGAAATGCTAGACTCTTGGATCCTGATTCATCAAATCACAGCATACTTGCAGGCACTTATGGCTACATAGCTCCAGGTTCATATTTAATCCTTCTTTTCTTTCACTTAACTACATGTTGAAGTCAGAACCTCAATTTTTATGCATTTATTTTTTGCAGAGTTCGCATATACCATTGTTGTAAGTGAAAAATGCGATGTTTATAGCTTTGGTGTACTGACATTGGAGATACTAATGGGAAAGCATCCTGGGGAGCTCTTGACATCACTATCATCAGCTTCTTCCCAAAACATGATGCTTAGTGATATATTAGATCCTCGCCTATCACCTCCAACAAATAAAAGGATCACCCTGGATATTATTCTTGCTTCTAGTCTTGCTTTTGCATGCTTAAGTCTCAACCCAAAGTCCAGGCCAACAATGAAAATTGTGTCTCAAGAGTTTCTTGCTCACCGAAGACCATTATTCTCGAAGCCCATCCGAGAAGTCTCGTTGTCAGAACTTTTGAACTGTAAAATGTATATGGAAGATTAAAGAGAAAATCGGTTCAAACTATTTTTTTTCATGCCAATCTAGGCAAGTGTCCTATTGTTTCATCAGAATTTAGATTTCATTTACAATTTCTGATCTTTTATCTGTCCTTTGATTCCTCCCTGATTTTCTTGTTAAAGGTTGGTCCCAGTGGACATGAATTATCAAAGTGATTGGTGTTGTATGCCAAATTTATCCACATTTTTACTCCAACAGACGAAGAAGAAAAGTCATTAAGAAAAAATCAATTGAATGTTATGGAGTAAACATTTAACATTCTAAAGGTCTGGTATTTGCAGTAAGCTCAACTTAGTATCTCTGGCAACCAGCATACTCCACAAATTTATGGAGTACTAATTTCTTGTCGCAATGGTTGGACATGAGCATTAGAATGAGGAACAACAAGTTCTAGCTCTAATCTCAATTGCTAGAGGGAATGTTAGGCGATGAACAAGCAGTACAAATATTGATCTTAAAAAGCATGAAAAGGTCAAATGAGCAGGAAACCATTTTTCGTTGATTCCAACAAGTTCTTCATTGTTTCTCTCAGGAGTTTCTTCTACGTGATCACTGTCATATTGGACAACAATGCCCATAAATGCTCACTATTAAGAGAGCAGGCCAGCATGAACTTTCAAACTAATGGCTGATGTTTATTTTCCCAATGATAATTTAAATCCCCGGAACAAGGACATGTAATGAAATGGAAAAGAACAGGGGGTGGGCATATGCTCAATGTAAAATTATCTTCAAAGGAGTTCAGTCATATTTACATGTCATTAACATACTGGAGAGCTGCATAACCATCGTTTCCTCTCAGACGAGTAGATACATGAATCCTATCTCCCTCTTGACCATCTTTGGCAAGTCCAAAGTCAGAAAGTTTAGCATTGTAATCCTGAAGAAGATTCAAAACATTTCATTAAAGGGAGGTTACAAGTTAAATAACACAATTATTTTTACTATACTAGTACCCTGCTCCATGTTTTCCAACAGAGCCAAGGGCATAAAACCAATAATGTTCGTTCCCCGAAACATAGTTCAATTTGGTTCATGTAATTACCCCTTAAGGTGGCATTAAGCAGATCGGGCTCAAATTTCAGTACTCACAGTCCTTCACTTATTCCCATACTGTGGTCTCCTAGGTAACCAAAAAAAAGGCTACCAGCCAGCTCTCTCCTACTAGGGAAATACAGAATTCTAACCAGTTTCCTCATTAATTTCATCAAAATCTTACAAGCAGTAAGTTCAATCTGTTAGAAATTAGATAATTCATTTTTTTCCCCATGAGAATTGGCTGCACCATCATGTTACATACAAAACAAGGACAAAAATAAACCAAACTAAGCAAACAATGAAGATAAGGCAAATCCTTATAGTTTCATAGCTAACATGGTTAACCTAAATGAGTTGATAAATATGACAGAACACATTTATTTATTCTGAATCTGATATTGATCAGAAGATGCCTATTGTTGCTGAACAGAACACATGCTTCTCGCTCTGTCAATGTACAGCACAAACTTGTAGGCTTCATTGATCAGGAATCCGGTACTTGTGTTGGCTTGTCACATATTCTCGAACATTGTTTTTGAGTCAACATGGTAATGGACCTCCCTTGACAGATAGATAAACATGGATTTGTTCGGATTTTATTGCCCCACTGAGTAGCCTGATGCCAGAACTTACAAATATAAATGGCAATAGATGCCTTTGTAACTGCAGGTCTGGGTATAATTAACAAGCTTTTTGAAATCCAGAACTTATAATCGTCACCTTCTTGGTTTGTAATTGTACATTTTATAATCATCAAATCCTTGACAAGTTGAACAAGAATTAAACTATGCCTCTTCCAGGGTTTTCTTTAACTAGTTTAGTTTGAGATGATGCTACTAGCTAGGATGACAGAACCAATTAGTCAAACTAAAAAAAAAAAAAAAGAAAAAACCACAAAGTCAATCGAGGTGTAATGAATGCTATCTCAGGGATGAATCAACTTTAATTGAACAATTATCCTTTAAGGATCTTAAATTCAATATTTTTTTGGTACAAAGATGCCACAATTTGGGAATAAGGAAAGAGATTGCAGGTGCTGAGATTTGAACTCCAAACCTAGTAGATATCAGCTCTTAAAGGTGGCTGTATAAGCCATCAGAACTAAACTATGTGTTCTTAAATTCAATATTTGCTTCTAGATAAAATAAAGAATCTTTTATCCTAAACAGTGCCAAATTGGACTAGGACAAGCTGTTGATTTCAATATCTGGATCTAAGACAACTTCTACTGACCATTAAGCTAAGCTAAACAATGCACCATTGTTTAAATTATCAGATTAGTTAGCAGAAGATTTTGCATAGATTTTACAGCTACCCCAGGAAGATAATGAGATACACTTGGAGTTATTGCACCAAACTAAAATCAATCTGAGAATTACAAGTTTATAACTTTTTCATATTATCCAATCTGAACTGACCACTTCTAATCAAGACTTTCATGATATTTACACCATAAGCTGCCCTTTTGCCTTAGAAGTATCCTGTAAATTTGCTAAATTTGCACCAACACTTCCATTTTAAAGTTTCTTAATTTATCCTAGGAAATTTCTTTTGGAACCTTAAGATGCATTTTTGTCTGATCTTGCCAAAGATAGCATCTAAATTCTTGTGTGACAGTTTTGAACAGATTTTATCCCCCATGATCCAGCCTGAAACTCCTTCAGTAAGAGAACAAAATTGAGGAGATAGAGTAAAGTCCCATTACATTGTGAACCCACCTTTGAGACCTCATTACACATAAGAGTATAAATTTCCAAAATCTAATAGGTTTGGAGGGTGGTAGAGGAAGCAAGGGACAGCTTCTTTAAGTTTTCTTGCCTTTCTGCTACTTAATCTTCTATTCCTTTGATACTGTTAAAAACCAGACAAACCTGCAAGGAAGTTTTCTTGTTCTTTTTTTAATACTTTAGATTGTTAGAATTTGAACCTAATCACTGAAACTAAAAATTTAGCACTCTACCAATAAACCACACAACAGTTTGCTTCCTGGTTTTTGATAAAAAGCAATAAAACAGTATTAGCAGCTCAAGTTAATTACTCTATACAGTTTTATAAGCTATGAGAGTTGACCTATCACATAATCATGTGCCCTGCACTGAATTCCTTTAAACAAAATATAAAACCATATTCATAATGCCACCACATCCCTTCCCTTGATATTTGTAATCATAATCTGAAACGTGGCAAGAATTTTGGTTATCTGGATCTCAGGGGATTGATTATTCTAATAACTACGACACGATAAACTATGTCATATCAGTATGATCACAAATTAGGTCAATGTCACATTGTTTGGGAGTTTTTTTGGTAAAAAAAGTAAAAAAGACTAAAGTAAAAAAAGTTGGCTCCAGGCTTCTGATCCGTGATCATAATTTCAGTTAGTCCATAGGAAAATTTAGATGTTCCTGTAAGAACATATATTATAGGAGATTGGCCTGTAATGCTGTGATCAAGCAATTGCCAAAAACAATTCCAAGTTGATCAAACAACGAAGTGTTGCTGCCATTTTATACTGAACTAGTTAAACAGTTGCCTGATGACAAACCATTGTGATGTGCAAATTTTATTGGAAGTCATATACGTTTCATGTAACCATCAGTTTGTTCGTACATATCAAACTTTCTTCAGAAAGGCATAGAGGAATCAAAATCTATTACCTAAATTTAGTGAAGCAAGCCGACATTTCCACATTAGGAGGTACACTCCATAGTTCATATATTTTATTTTTTATGTTTGAAGCTGTTGGAATCTGAATATTGATCCCTATAGCTAAGAGTACAGTACTCTACCAATAGACGAAGTGATTCCTCCATGGTCCATATTAAATGGCCTAAGAATCATCCTCTTACGTATTTCAATTGTCTTGTAAATAGAAATTTTCGATATTGCCCAAGTGGTTATGCCTCAAGTACTGTTATTACTATGCAGTTGACCCTTATTTTACCTTACCAATAAGGGTATAAACAAACTCAGTATGAATGAACTTTATTGTATTTATGATTTGTTTATTTAATTAATGAATCTTAAAATATTGTTCATGATTATTTGTTGATATTAATAAATGAAAAAAATGAATAGAAACAGAGCTATTCATGATTGTTCGTAAAAATTCTGTTCGTTTTAACCCTATCCACCGGCATTTTAATATTCTTATTCATTATGTGTGTTACCTCTAAGTGCTATAAGCAATGCTAATTAGATAGTGATATCAGTTAATGGGAGTCATGAAGGTTCTGTAAAACAAGTTATCCACAATAAAACACGGATGATGAACAATTTTCTGGTCTGATTAGAAGTTAGAACCATGAAAGAGACAGAAGAAGAGGCTCTATTGCTTTGTTGAATGACAGGGAGGTGGTGACAGTAGGTCACATGGATATCCTACAGAAGAGGGTGCACAGTTAGATACTTTCCCTTGTCAGATGAAAATAGACAAACGTCCCCTTCAAAAACCAAAGCAATGTCCATTTCCTAACCCTGTATTTGTTTTCTTTCTTCCCATCTCCTTGGCTTCTTTCCCCTTGGAATGTGTGCTCAGAATCTTCCTCTCTTTTTTCTTGCCTGTCTTGATTTTCTCATTTACTCCCAACTAGATTTTGGTCACACCCTTTAATCTCATCACTGATTTTATGAAGTCAGCCAATTTGCTTCTCATTACTGGAACCTTCTCCAAAGCAATTCCATGCAATTTTTTAAATGTTGATTGTGAAGCAAACCCATATGATTCCCAAGCACCAACAGCAATTAAAAAAATGAAAAAACAAATGCAAGGAGAGAATCCCTTTTCTATTTCATGGCCCATGCTACATGCCAGAGATGGAAAACCACTCAGTGGCATAGTACTATGATCCAACCTGGCAACTATATCACAATTCACTTGGGAAGAAAAATGTATTATTCAGAGCCAACCACCTCCATATTGGTTTTCTGCCCAAATGATGGTGAAGCAAATATATCCAATTCTATACACCAGTCTATAGCCAAAACAAGAATCTGAAGTTGACAGGAAAAATCCTAAATTTTCTTCTTAACTTGCCAAGCCAAAGCTGAAGTGCATAACAACATTGTGGTACTTGTTGGATAATTAGTCTCAATTCAATGGAAATTTTGCTGCTCAGTCCATGGCCAGAAACCTTGCTGCTCATCTACTCCATTGAACATATGGCAAAAGCTCTCTTCTTGAACCACTTGGTCAAGTTTTAGGCATTGAAGGTCTGGTCTTGATGAGCCTTGGAGAGGTTGAGTCATGCTTGTTGGCCTGATGGATGAAGGGAAGAGGTGTTTACTGCTCAACTGTGAAGACGGTGGACTGGTTATAATTGTTGTTCTTGAGAAATCTAAGTTCACATCGCAACTGTTATCGCTTCCATTGCTCCAAGAACCCTCATTTTCTTTCTTGATGCTGATTTCGTTTGACTCTTTGGTTTTCAAAGACAATAACTACAGCAATATATTGCAACCAAAAGAAATCATTGTGAAGAATTGAGCATAATGCCAAAGAATTCCACCCAATTTCATGTTCCTTGAATGGAGATGATAAATCTTGTATCAAATTTATTAAGGGAAAAAGTAAAAACAATTGCAACTATTTGTGTACTCGACCGCCTACCAGGGATTAAAATAACTTGTATTCCTAAATGATGCTGCTTCTGACACTGAAACTTCATTTTTGTCATCAACTAATTTTCAGAATCATTAAAATAAGGAATACAATGACCTTGATGAACATTGTTCATATTTTTGGATCAAGAACTTAACCAAATAGAAACTAAAGTCTCAATCTCATGTCACTATATTGTGAGGATGGGCTACGGTAGATACGTAGAGACTTGAATCTATGCTTGTAAAGTGCTTTTTGTGAGATAAAAAACCGTGAGACGAATTCTCAAAATATCGTAATGAGATTGGAGCCTTTCAAAGGTGCTGTCAGGATTAATATGATACAGAAAATCTTTGCTAGTAAAATCCTACTACTATAAATCTGACGTAACTGCAGGTTAAATGTTCATAAATTAGAATTGCTCTTATGAGAGGAAGCCTCATTTTCACCCTTCTTAATTTCAATTGCAAAAAGCTCATGAAATTGAGAAGATTTCTTTTTCTTTTAACCAACTTATGTTCTATAGACTTAATGCAAAATCAGCAGTTCTAGAATATTGAATGGAAAAAGACTCGGTCACTAGTGTTAAAAACTGAAGATGCACAGATCAAATGCTGTTTCAAATTTCTTCCTCATCCAAAACCTATAATGAATAACTTTGTTAAAATCCAGGGGATATAACTGAGAATTGTGTCATTGATGAAGATAAGAACCATTACCTCCGCACTAAGTTTCTTGTTTTGAGCTTGAAGGGCATCAGTGTCAGCTTTGAGTGCTTCTAACTGTTTCTTCAAGGCCTCATAATCTTTCTCCAATTGCTTGGTTTTCCACCTAGCCCTTCTGTTTTGAAACCATATAGCTATCTGCCTTGGTTGTAACCCCAAAGCCTTAGCCAGCTGCATTTTTCTTCCAGGTTCAAGCTTGTTACCCAACTCAAAACTCTTCTCCAGTGCCTTCACTTGTTCCAAGTTCAGCCTCTTCTTCTTCTCCCCAAGGTGTGATCCATCATCAGACAATTCATCATCTCCATGCACTCCCTCAGACTTTTCAACACCTGAGAAAGATACTGATCTCTTCATCATAAAAGGTGCACCACCTAGAACCAAACAAAAAACACACAATAAAACGAACACCCATCAACTTCCATATACAAACATATACACGCATCAATATAAACAAAAAAAAAAAGATATATAGACAAAGAAAGAAGAGAAAGAAGAGAGAGAGATACAATGGAAGAGTTGTGGAGGAAAAGAAGGGAGGGAATTGAGGGAAGTAGGGGAAGGGAGATGGTCATGATCATCGTAGGGTTGGAACAAGAAAGCATGAGGAGGGAAGGCCATGTCAATGCTAAAAATCATTCATGCACTTGGATTCTTGGGAATGGTTAAGGGGCCTGATAAGTCATCAGAGGGAGAGGGGAGGTATGGATTATATGGACTGACTCGTATATGACAATATCATGGTTGACAGGTTATAGGAAGAAGACATGGGGGGAGGTGTGGTCATGGCCTCATGGGGTTCAGAGGCCGAAAGACAACGATTTTAAGGTTGAGAGCGAGAGAGTAACGAGAGGTGTGAATTGTGTAATATATCACAGATTGGAGCATTCCTGGACCCATCCTCTGATATGGGTTCTCTCTCTCTGTCCCTCTAAAAACACTTACACCCATGGTTTTATTACCCTGGAAATTCAACATTTTAAACCTAGCTAGCTAGCTAGCTACCCATGATTCAAAACATTTGCCTCAATACCAATTCAGGGGGAATTTTGGTGAAATGATCAACCATTCAAAGTTTCGTGTACTTCACAGTAAGTAATCACTATCAAATTTTGAAAAAAAAAATAAAAACTTTGAGAGTGGGAAATTTTCAGGCTAAAGAAAAAAAAAAGATAAAGTATTAAAAAAATTTGGACTCCTTATAACAAATTCCTAGTTGCCTTATAAGTTGTTTCACTGGCCATGTGTGATGAGGAAACTTGGCAACATGAAAATACAGAATCCAAGGAGGAGAAATAATAGAATATTTATCATTAGATGTCTTATAGTCATTCCATAAATATTCATCTCTGGTGGAAAACTTTTTTTTATTTTACTTTATGAAATGTTGAGAATTTTGGTTACTTAAGACTATAAAATATTAATCTACTATGTATATATTACTTAAGAGTATAAAACAATAATCTACTACGTATATATATTAAGCCTATTAAGTAAAAATTATAATCACTTTTGGATTAATGTCAAAACAAATTAAAAATTAATATAACCATAATTTGAGCTTAATTCAGTTGATTTACACTGTTACTTTTACAAAATAACATTTAATAAATTTAAAATTCAAAATCCAAACACTTAGAACCTTTTCCCTTCAATCTTCCTAATGTGACTTTTTAAATTTTCATACAACTTCTTTTAAAAAATATTATGCAATTAATGTGCAAGTTTAGTTTAACTTGGAAGAAGGGTCAAAAAGTTTACTTATGGCAAAACTTAGAATAATTAATTATATCACTATTTTTTAAAATGAAATAATTATTTGAGAAAATTTATCAATAGAAATTATATTTGATGCGCTGTTAATGTATAAATTTATACAATATCAATAACTCGGATAATAATATCTCATTAATAAGATAAATCAAATGATGTCATTTCATTAATTAGTAAGTTTTTTTAAAAAAATAATAATTTTTTGTATATTTATTTTTAAAATTGATATTTATTCATTAAAATAAGGTGACATTATTTTATTTACTGATAGTATATAAAATTTATACATTGACAGTCATACATAAACTTATATAAATAAATGAGGTGATAACGGTTGAATCTTATTATATTTGATTCAATTTTTTTTAATATTGCATAATATTATGAATTTTTAAAATCTAAACCGACTCTTTATGCGATTTGATATGATCTAAATCGAACTTTACCAATTTGATTTTATTTAATGATTTTTTTAATTTTATTTATTTTATTTATATATTATTTTAATGTAAAATTTTAATATATTTAAATACATTTTGATTTAAAATGATTGTTTTTATTTTATAAAAATTTAAAATATATATAAACTAATAAAAATATATAATAAATTCGGTTTTTTTTGTTTTTGTTTTTCACCTCCCAATTCAAAATACGATTCAAACTTAATATATATTTAATATTCAAATTTAATTTAAACCAAATAAAAAAAATCAATCCAAACTTATCCAAACACTGATTTCGAATCAATTTTTTATTTTTTTTAATTTTTTTTCACCCCTATCTCAATCATTGGTATTTCGTAGGCATGTTATACTCTTTACTTATGTTTGAACTTCCAATAAATTTAGTTTAATTTATGCTAACCTAACATATAGTTTATTTATTTGTCTATATCGAAAACGAATTAAAGAATGCATACATAGTTATGATTAATGTTTAATTTTGAGATTTTATTTTGTTATTATTTAAACTAACTATGACCATAGAGCAAATTGCATTATTAAATCTTTGATCTTTTCGTAATGTTTCATTTTTATTTGTAATCTAATAAGAATTTGGTCGGAATAGGATAAAATTATTCACATAATTCTTTGGTTGACATATATATATATATATATATATGACAATTTTTATTCAAATTTTATCCATATATTAATGGATGGATGAATTTAAAAATATATTCAAAAGATCACAAAAGAAAAAATAAAAAATTTTAAGTTACAAAAGAAAATGAATTTTTAAAAAATTACAAACTAATTATGAAATTTGACCGTCACTAAAAAGAGTCTATGATGACAATTTTTTTTTTAAATGTGAGACAGATTGCCCCAACACAAGGTTCCTCTTGCTTTATTCCTAGCACATTAACCTCAAGGTCAGTTGAGTTTTGTCCCAAAACATCATGTTTTTGTAAAGCCTAACTGAGTTGAAAATTGGGAAAAATGAGATTCCCCATTAATCAAAAACAAAAGCATCTGCACATTTTGGCTCCCACCCTTTGTTTAATCCTGCCTCTTTAGCTTTTCTTCAAGAAGTACCCAGATTGGACCTGAAAAAGGGGGGGAAATTATAGGATAATAATAAGTTCTATTTATCCTTTGATGTACAAATCATTTGTTGCCTTTCACTTTTCCAATGTTAAATGTTAAAGTGTATCTAATTCTAAAGCTATTTCGAGAACCTACCAAAGACATATAAGCCCTAGTTGCTCATTTTTTGTGTGGTGAGGGGGATATTGGAGGAGTTTTTTATTTATTTTCTTTTTGCTTTTTTTTTTAATAATATTTTATTTAGCAAAAAGGGTTCTTGAGTTTTGTTCAGTATATTTCTTCCTAGGGTCAATTTAGGCAATCGAACTTAATGAATTTATAAAAAATTATCTTTTTATCTTTTAACAAATTCGAATGCAGACAATAAATATAATAGAATACTCTCTTTAACAATTTTTATATATATATATATATACATTAATTGTTTAGTTATGAAATTTATTTTCAAAAAATAAAATAATTTTATTATTATATTAGAAAGTTCATATGGAAAAAAATCAATTGTGTATATTTTTATGTATATATAATTTCTTTTCAAAAACAGAAAAAGAGTGGAGCCTGCAATGTACTGCTTTAATGTGGCCTACAACAAGCCCTTCACATGCTTATATTGGAAGTTTAGGGGTACCCCTTTAGAATAGTGTGGATCCATGTTATTCCTTGTTGCCTCACCTCCATATTAAAGAAAGAAAGCATTCTGAATCTTCCCCCACATGCCTTCCTGTTCCCATGTGCCCTGCTGCTTCCTCTCTCTCTCTCTCTCTCTCTCTCTCTCTCTCTCTCATGGGTTTTCCTTAACCAAAATTTTTCTTTATAAGTGCTTCTTCTACTCTTCAACCATATAGAAATTTTTTATGTTAATTCTATAAATAAATTATCAACCAACAAGCGAAACCCACCCCCCCCAAAAAAAAAAAAAAAAAAACTAATAACAAAGAGATCACTTTGAGTTTGAAATTTTATATTTCATGCAATTAGCTAGGATTTGATTTAGATGCATGGTGGAAGGGTTCCCACTATGCCATAAGTGACGTTTATGATTGGACACGCATCTAAATCAAGTCTAAGTAAGGGAGGAGTGGGTTGATACATGCATTTCAAATGTTATTTCATTCTCATTTATAGATACCAACTTTTTTCAAGTACAAATATGAAACTTAGATGATTAAAAAGTTGCCAAGATATGAAGTGAATGATCTTCATTGTTTTTCCAAACAAAGTTAGTTTGCTATATACTATATATTTTCAGTTTTAGGAGCTAGAAATTAAAGCATCTAGCTAGCTTGGGCTATGTATTCTCCCTATCATTGTCTTGCTTCATAACTGTCATCAATCATGGTGTTTGCAATGTCACAAAATTAATAGGCTTATATATAGATTGCTTAATTTGTGGCAATGGAGGAAGACAAACGGAAATGGAAATCTATATATTAAACAAACTGACTTTTTTTTTTCTAATTTTGGTGGGATCCCAACACTGATGAACAAAAAGCACTTAAAAAGTATATTTATACAACTATTTTTAACTTTACTTGTTTGAGCTTATTCATCTTTTTATATTTAGTTGCCCAAAGTTGCCTCAAAATAGATCCACAAGCGGATTCCAATAAAAAGAATATTACGTGTATAAACTCATTTGAATCTATAGTTTTTAAGTGTTCGATTCTATAGGCCATCAAAGAATGTGTTATTCTCAAGGGAAAGACCAGTGATCAATTCATGGGCAATAAGCTACCAAAAGTTTGGGCTCAAGAAGAATAAATTGCATGTCTTCAGCATCCTATCCGGATTTTGGGGCTTGCTTACTAAGTATGATCCACCAATTGGGCCAATATCAGGAAATTAAAAAAATCTCTATGCTTGGGCTCTGCATCATTTCAACAAGTGGAATTTCAAACTGTTTTTCGGTGGTGAAGATAAGGCTGTCAAGCCCATATATGAAATAATTTCCTTTCTTGTATACTAAAGAATTCTTCTTGTTTGTTTCTATTAAGATTATATTTCATATAACAAAGAAAGCATTGAAATAATTAAACAAACAAAATGAAGAAATAACTGAAGAAAAATGGTATAGTCTTCAAAAAAAAAAAAAAAGTCTGAATGGTAGGAATTTAAGACATTAAATCTTTATCTTTAAAATTGTTTTGCTCTTTTTTGTATACTTCCATTAAGGTATTTTCTAGTTTTACTTAAGTTTAATCTTTTCTCGAATAATTTGTTCACTTTTTTATATTGATTTGATATATTTAAAATTTTATTTTTGAAATGCTTTTACAAAAATCGAATTTGATTGACAAAAAAAAAAACTTGTAAAATTTTTATTATTTATACATAATACCATTTTTTTTATTTGTAAATTCAGACCTTTTAAGGTGTCTCCTAATTCAATAGATTTTTCCAACCAACGAAAGAAAAAGGGTAATTTAGGGTTAGAAGGAGTTCTTTACAAGTTTTAAGAATCTGAAAGTGGAACATAAGAAAAAACTTAAAAGTGTAAATGAATAGAA